TTTGGTCTTTTTGAGACAGGGTCTCCCTGTAGCCCCAGCTGTTCTGGAACTCAGTGTGTTAGACCAGGCTGGCCTTGAACTCACAGAGATCCGTCTGTCTCTGCCTCCCGAGTACTGGGATTAAAGGCGTGCGCCACCATGCCTGGCCATTTTTGTGATTTTTATAAAATATGGTTTGAAGGTATTTAGATCCTCTTTCCTATCTGCACCTCCCCCCATGGCTTCCTGCCCAATTTAATATACTCTTTTATGTGTAATACAGCCTATAGAGTCTGATTTGTGTCCCCAAATGCCCTTCAGTGTGGGTCCATCTACTGGGCCCACCCAGAGCCCTGTCCCTATAAGACACTGTCTTTCCCCCTCTCAGCAGCCATCAATTGCCAAAAGTTCCTTAGATTGGGTTGGGCTCTCTTACCCATTTACCCACGTCTGTGCTGTGGTTTTGTCTGGTTTGAGCTTGCATAGGACTTGTGCATGCTGTCGCCATTGCTGACTGTTCATATGAGTAACTGACCAGCTCTCTGGAAGACTGTTTCCTTGTGGTCATACACCCCCTCTGGCTTTTAAAATCTTCCCACCTCTTTGGCAATGATCCCTGAACCTTGGAAGGTAGAAGTTTGAAATATGTGTCCTATTCAGGGGTAAGCACTCTGTGGCTTCTTGTTCTCTGCACATTGACCAATTATGGGTTTCTGTGTTAATCACCACCTGCTGTATAAGGAAACTTCTCTGTAGAGAGGTGAGAGATGCATTTATCCTATGTGTAGTGGTTACATTGAAGATGTGTCACTTAGGGTTCAGTGTGTCAGAGACACTTATTTTTTATTTTTGACCAGTTCTGGAACTCTGTAATAGTCTCCATCTGTTGAAAAAGGAAGCTTCTTTGATGAGGGGTGAAAGATACCACTTGTCTGTACATATGAAGATGCATATTTAGAATAAATTAAGAAATTATATTGATCTAGAGATGTGGCAAAAGTAGGTTTTTCTCTAGGATCTATGACTTCTCCAGCCATGTGTATTTGGCTATGTTTACAGTCCCACACTTGAATTTCTTCCCATTGAGTGGACCTTAGTTCCAATTAGACAGCTGTTGATTACCCCCAAGATAAAAGTGCCACTACTGTACCAATAGCAATAGTTTGTTGGGCCAGTTAATTGCCTTTTAGGCTTTACAGCTGGGTAGGGCCATTAATTGGTTTTCTCCCTTAGCAGTTTGTATAGTATCCTTTGATACCATGAGAGCTTATCTTCAGGGGAGGTGGCTTCAGTTCCAGCTCCGTTGCTCCAAGTCTTGTGTCTGAAGTTTGGCCTATCTTCAGCAGTAGGGTTTTACCTTCAAGTTCTAGGAGGAATCAAGGGCTATGGCAATAGCCTGTGTTATTTTGGGGAGTTTCTTGGACTATCCAACCAACACTCGAAGGGAGGTTTCTCCTGTCTGATGCTGTTTTTTGTTTCATAGTCTTTAGCTCTACATATGCACTTATATATTATTGCATGCGTATTTTTCAGTAGGACGTTGAACTAATACATTTTCCTCTAGCTTTTCATACCATCTAAGCATTATTTATCTCTCCTCTCATTCCCAGATTAGGGGGAATTTCTAATTACTGGTAAAACCAGCACTGTTTTCTCTGACTTCTCCCTTATGTTAACTCAACAAAAATTAAAAATTTAAACATGCATTGAGCATCTATTCCATTCCAGGGCTGTAGTTTAGGCTTTGTAAATATATATGCACACTAAATAGAACTTGCCCTTTATAGGAGCCTATTTGAGAGCTAAAATAAGCCTAAAAACTGAGTAATGCCCTTCTTTTTTTTTTTTTCATATTTTTCTTGTAGCAAATAAGAAGAAGGAGAAGGAGCGGCCAGAAATTTCTCTTCCTTCAGATTTTGAGCATACAATTCATGTTGGTTTTGATGCTGTCACAGGGGAGTTTACGGTAAGTCCTAAGTGTCAGTCTTACAGCTGGCCTATGTACTGTTAGATTCAGCCTGTTCTCATCTTCCTGATGCTTCTTTATTTGGTGGAGATTTTCATTTGTATCTTCTTATGTTCATGAGAACACTTTGCTAATCTCCAAAATTTCCTTTTTTATTTTTTTGGTTTATTGGTTTGCAGTAGTGAGGATTGAATACAGGGCCTTGTTCATGCCAGTGTACCACTGAGCTACACTGCCATCTCAAACCCTTAAAAGTTCCCATGATAGCAAGCTCTGTGGGGCACTGATGATGCAGGGGTAAATCAGACATGGTTTCTGCTCTGTAGGAGGTAAAGCCTGGTAAAAGAGCAAACATCTTCAGAAATAGGTAGCACAGTAAAGAGGGCTTCTTAAAGGGGCTTGTTAAACTCTGAGGGACCAGGGAAAGGGATGACCAATAAACTCATTTTATCTACTAGCAAGTATCAGGGTTTGGCCTAATATTCTTTTAGGGCCCCCCTATAACCATGCCTTCCTAAAAACCTTGCACATCTCTTTTAGGGGATGCCAGAGCAATGGGCCCGCTTGCTTCAAACATCAAATATCACTAAGTCAGAGCAGAAGAAAAACCCACAGGCTGTTCTGGATGTGTTGGAATTTTATAACTCTAAGAAGACCTCCAATAGTCAGAAGTACATGAGCTTTACAGGTATGAGGATTGCATCCATGGTAGTCAGAGCAGAAGCTCCTGTGTGTCTGTTGGTTAGCATGCTAAGAGAAAGTAGAAAGAATGCAGGTGTCATTCACTAAGATGGGATTTTTTACATTTATTTTGTTGAGGGGCAGGCATGCATGCTGAGGTATGCATGCTATGACTTGTGTGTGTGTGGAGATGGGAGGAAAACTTTCAGGAGTAGGTTCTCTACTTCCACCGTATGGGTTCTGGGGCTTGAACTCAGGCCATCAGGTTTGGTGGCAAGTGCTTTTACCTACTAAACCATCTCACTGGCCCCTGCATGTTATTTTAAAAATAGCATGTATTATATAAAAGGAACATAGACATCTATATAGTTGTAAAACATGGAATTTAGCTGTCATTGACATTACTGCTAATACCATATTTGTTTAATAATAGTAATGAGTATCATTTAAGTTGTAAGCCCAGTTTCTTCTTCAAGAGACTTTTTTCTTGAGATAGGTTTTATTTTGTACCTCAGTTGGCCTAGAACGTACAGTGATCCTCCAGCTTCAGCTTTTAGAGTCCTGGGATTGAAGGTGTGAGCCATTGTTTCCTCATTTCCAGCCCTATTTTTTATCACTTGAATGGAAATCAAGCCACTAGTTATATTTTTATGTGTACTTTCTGTGTAAGGGATTATGGTTTTTAGTGTTTTTAGTGATGGAACTGGGATTAGAACTCAGGTCTCCTAATTCCTAACCCTACTTTTGAATTTACTTACTATCTCTCATAATTTTATTTGGAGTGCTGTCTTCAATAGAGACAATTCTCTCTCTTTTTTTTTTTTTTTTTTTTTTTTTTTTTTTTTTTAAAAAAAAAAAAAAAAAAAAAAGAGGACGATAAATCTTTCACTGTGATATATCAAAATAATGTCCTGGAACTCACTATGTAGACCAGGCTGGCCTTGAACTCACAGAGATCCACCTGCCTCTGCCTCCCGTGTGCTGGGGATTAAAGGTGTGCGCCACCACACCCGGCGAAACAATTCTCTTTTTTAGGATAACTTCAAAGGCCTATGTTTGTGGAAAGTTGCCTTTTTTATAGCATCTTAGAATATTAGAGCAAAATTGGGCGTTGTGGCACATTCCTATAATTCCAGGTAGAGGCAGAAGGATTTGGAGGAGTCCAAGGTCATCCATGGCTACCTAGCAAGTTTCAAGGGCAACCTGGGCTATGGAGAGACTGTCTGAAAAGCGAATAGAACATTAGACCAAGAAATTTGTAAATAATATACCAGTTCCTTATTGTTTGCAGATATAAAAAGCAAAAAAGGCCTTTGTAGTATGGCTAAATTAGCATCGGGCCTAGTCTCTTTGCAGTCTGCTGTTCTTTGTTTCTGTTGCCTCCTTCAAAGGGCGGCATTGTTGGAGAACGTGAGAGCCAGGATGAATTGGCTTATTTTGGTGGATGCTTTCCCTAGCTAGGTTCTGGCTTGTATCAAAGGGCACAGATGGTAGGAATGACAGACTGCAGCTTCTCTCCTACTGCCGCAGGTGTGCTCAGGAAAGGGCCATGTATCTTCCCAGCAGCATTTCCCTCCTCTCAGCTGTCCCCACTGGGTCTGTCTCACCTCTTTCATTGAAGGACTGGGTCATTGTAAGGAGAAATTGGGGTGAGAGGTTACTGAGTAGCAAAGGTTTCTGGTGATCAGGAAATCAGAACTTATGGTTTAAGGAATTTATTACAGAGCCATGAGATTGGAAGCTGTTTTCTGTGTACATGTATATAGATACCTGGAAGCTGCTTGTTCGCATATGGAGTCATTGCCCCTGTGGACTTGTATATATGGTTGAAATTATAGTCCACTTAAGTATTTATGAATGAATACATGTATAAATATACACATTCCAGTAATTACAATATGTTCATCAGTGCATGCATGATTGAATGACAGTCACTGTATTTCTATAGATAACATTTGCATACATCTACTGGTGCATATTAATGTAAACACACATTCATGTATATGTATGTGTAGGATTTAAAATTTTCTAGCCGTTAAAGATGAAGGCCAACTCTAAGTAAAATTTTATATTTGGTAGTTTATTTTTAAGGTAGCCCCTCCCTGTTTTCTCTCAACTGTTAATTATGGTAACATCACTTCAATTTGTGTATGCTCACATGTGATTCTCATGATGGCCTCTAGGGATTGGCAGGGCAAGGACTTACCATGTCCCTTATATAGACTCAAGTTAATTAAGATTAGAGAAATTAAATAACTTACCCATGAATATTCAGCTGATATGTGATAGAAGTGTGTTCTTTTATTTTCTTTGAGACAGGGTCTCACACTAGGTAGCTCTGGCTAGCCTGGAACTCTCTGTGTAGACTAGACTGGCCTGGATCTCAAAGCCAGCCTGGTCTACATAATGAGGCCCTGTCTCGTAAATAAATAAATAAATAAATAAATAAATAAATAAATAAATAAATACTGTTGGTAAAGAAAATTGGGCCTTTAAAACCTCTGCTGTCTATAACTTCAACACAACTCTCCATGCCATATTTGGATAGGCTAAGTTTCCTATGACATTTGGTTTTCTAAACCAGTTAGTATTAGGGGAAAAGTAGACTGGATTGACATCCCAACTGAGTTTAGCTCTACTTTGACATTAACTTCCATTTTCTTGAACCAGTCTCTTTGTCTTTGTTAACTTGAGTTTCCTCATTTGTAAAATGAAGGGGTTGGAAAGTACGTTCTGTTCTTTTGTTCTGTGCTTTTGTATTTGATCTACAAAATTATACATTGTCTTTAAAAGGAGCAATGTTTACTTGTTTTTAAAGTTTTTAATATTATATTTATTCATTTATGTGAGTGGGGGGGGTACACACATACCATAGTGCAGCTTTCAGGAATTGGTTCTCTCCTTTAACCATGTAGGTCCCAGGGATCAAACTCAGGTCATCAGGTTTGTGTGGCAAATGCCTTTATCTGCTGAGCCTTCTTGCCAGCACATTATTTGTTTTTCATATGGCTTCAGAGACATGTTTATAATCAGAATGCTAAGGACTCAAAATGCTCACACTATGTAAGGTTGGGGGTAGTGCAATAATAATGAAGGCATAGTTTTGCACCTCTGCTAATTTTTTTTTCTTTTTGAGATGGTTTCCCTGTAGCTCCAGCTGGCCTTGAACTCACAGAGCTCCGCCTGCCTCCTGAGTGCTGGGAGTAAAGGCATACACCACCACACCTGGCCAAAGTTGGTATTGTTTTGTTCTTTGGAAAACCAAAGCAAATGAATTATGTTTTTATTATGCTTTGAATTGATTTTTTTCCAAGGCTTAGTTATTAAGGTTTTTTAAAAAAAATATTTATTTTTATTCTATGTGTATGAATGTTCACCTGCATGTATGTATGTGCACCGTGTGCATACGTAGTGCCCACAGAGGTCAGAAGAGGGCATTGGATTCTCTTGGAACTGGAGTTACAGATGGTTCTTAATTGCTGAGCCATTTTTCCCACCCCTAGGGTTTGTTCGGGGAATATATTGTCATAGATTGCCTTGCGTCCTACTTTGTAAGATCTCTTATTTGCTGTAGAGCCAAAGGAGCAATACTGGGCCCTTTCTTATGTGACAGAATTGAAGTCTTGGGCATTCTCAAGGCTGGGTTCTTGGTGGCAGATATGTCAAATTTGGTAAGATATTTCTCTTCTCAATTCCTTTGCTGAAGAACTGGCAAGTAAGTTTCTTCTTGGATTCTTAGGAATTAAAAAATAAAAACAAAGGCAACCTGGTCTTGAAACTTTTTTTTCCAAAATCTTTTATGGATCTGTTTCACAGTTCAGCAAGTCTGAGATGTCATTGATTATAAGATGCATAATTTTTTATGTACCACTCAAATCTGTCCATCAGACTGAAATGCCTTTAATTGTAGGATACATCTCTATGAACATTAAAAAGAAATACATCAGAATCAATGAAATAAAATTGCTTTATTGAGGGCACTTGATTCTGTTCTTAGAAAACAAACCCCTGCCTTTAATTAGACTTGACAGGATTGATACTTCTTTTCCTGTGGAAGCTAGACATGCATATAGAAGGATCCTTTCTTTGTGTTCTTGTGTGTGCATGTGTGTGCACATGTGTGCATGGAGGTCAAAGAACAACCTTGGGCGTCATTCCTCAGACACTGTACATTGTTCACTGTTTGTTTTTTGATATCAGGCCTTTTACTGGCCTGAAACTCTCCTAATAGGACTGGGCTGTGAGCCCCAAGGACCTGCCTGACTCTGCTTCGTCAGTGCTGAGACTCTTAAGCATGTATCACCATGCACAGCTTTTTTGGTTGGTTGTTTTAGCATGGGTTCTGGGGATTAAACTCAGACCCTGTGCTTGCATTGCAAGAACTTTATTGACTGAGCTATTTCCTCAGCCTCTGAAAGTTTCTTTATGAAAGCTGAAACTATAGATTGGTCATGATTTTATGTGGATGGTTCAGGAATATGCCATGGATTCCTTGACCATTGAAACCTCGTGATGATAGAGCTGATGATGTAGATTCGGTACTAGCATTATATTTAGAATTAGATCAGAATTCAGATTTTGAATCCTCTGTTTAATCTAAGTACACTCTGGGCAAATTACTCGACTTCTCTGAACTATAAAGTCTGAAAGTATGAGTTTTAAGCTTTAAAGACTGAGCTGTCTCTCTGGCCCTGAACTATAAAATCTATGAAAGTGAATATAAGAATATCTGGAACCAGTGTGAGGATTAAAGAGATGATGATAGATATAATGTGCTTTGCGTGACTTCCAGCCTATAGTACTAAGTCAGTCATAATGTTACTGTTCTATGAACCTTGGAGGTGTTTGGTCAGATAGACTTCCTTAGTACTCAGAAAAGAATTAGCTATACTTACTAAATCTTTTGTCTTCTTTCATAGATAAGTCAGCTGAAGACTATAATTCTTCTAACACTTTGGTAAGTCTTTGATTCCTCCATTCTGAAATAAACAGGTATGAAAGTAAGGCTCAAGACAGTATGGTAGATGAGTCAGGGCTGGGGACTCAATCCTGGTCACTCTCATGGTCAGCTTTAGGATTTCTGTGCATACAATAAAGGAACTGGACTGATGAACAGTATTATTCCTGTTTGGCAGTGTATCCCTTCCAGCTTTACAAGAGTGCAGAAATTCTAACCTTGAACCAGAAGATGTAGTTTTTAGGCTGTTTGTTTCTGTGTCCCCCTCCCCTCCAAACCTCCATTCGTTGGTTTGAACATTGGGAAACTCAGTTTGCCTTTCTGAGGTTCAAATTCTTCATCAGTAAAATGAGGATGATACACTCTCCCTTACCTGGATATGTTTTCAGACACCTAGAATTAGAGGGGAAGCCCCTATCTTTTGTCAGTAAGGTCTACTAAACTAGGATTAGAACCAATTACTAGAGGGAATAGATTCTGTTTAAGATCCTTTTATTCTTCCCTCTGAAGTTGTATTATTTATTGTTCTGTAACTTGAAGGATTATTAAAGGAACCCCTGAAGAATTGGCTGGGAAGTACCAGTAGATGACCTTAAAAGTGCGTCTGTGTCCTTTATTTTAAAAGTTGTATTTTCCATGGCAGTTATGAATATAAAATGAGATGTTGATATCTTAGAAAGGGTCGTATAAATAGTAAGATATGGCACATGAAAATACTGCTATTCTTTATATTTTATGTTGTCCTTCATAGAAAAGTGGTTATAGCTAGGCCTACTGCCACGGGCCTCTACTCCTAGGTACTTGGGAGGTTGAGGCCTCGAAAGTTCAAGGCCCACTGGGCCTATGGATGAGTTGAAGGCCTTTCTGAGCAATGTAGTGAAAATCTGTCTCAAATAAAAAGTTAAAAGATGGCTGGGACTAAAGCTCAATGATAGAACATTTGCTTAGCATTTGAGAGGCCCTAGGTTCATTCCCCAGTACTGCTGAAAATAAGAAAAGAAAGGTGTGTGCTGGATGGCTTTAGTGTTGACTTGACACACCTGGGTTGAGGGAGCCTCAGTTGGGGAATTTCCTCTATTGGACTGACCTGTGGCCATGTCTGAGGGGCATCTTCTTGATGAGTGATGGGGGAGGGCCCAGCCCACTGTGGGTGGTGCCACCCCTGGGCAGGTGGGCCTGTGTTGCATAAGAAAACAGGCTGAGCAGGGGCCAGGGGAGCAAGCCAGTAAGCAGCATTCCTCCATGGCCTGTGCTCCAGCTCCTGCTTCCAGGTTCCTGCCCTGAGTTCCTACCTTGGGCTCCCAGATGTACTGTGACCTGGGATATGTAAGTTCAATAAACCCTTTCCTCCCCAAGTTGGTAGTGGTCAGAGTATTTTGTCACAGCAATGAAGAACAAACTAGGACAAGGTGTTTATGCCATATTGGTTTACTAAACATTTACAAAAGCCTGTATCTCTGTCAGGTCCTGGGTGGAGCAATCAGACATTGTCCCCATGTCTCAGAACCTCCCAGTCTTGTAGAGGACATGAAGACACAGACTGTGACAGTTGAGCATGCTAATAAACCTCATGAGGCCAGGGACTATGCATGTCTTGTTAATGGCTTTGTCTTTGGTACTCAGCAAGTTCTGACGTTCAATAAACATTTATTGAATGAAAGATTGGATATGTCAGAAAACTTCCTAATGGTAAAGTCTATGTTGAATGAGTTATCTAAGGCAAGAATTAAAGAGAGATGAAGGTATTTCAGAAAGAAAGAAAATTATATTCATGAGCAATTAGGTTCACAAGATAAAGTTATATGGGGACCTGCCAGTAGTTTGATATGAGTGGAATGTGAAGTGTACCAGAAGTAGTGGTTGGTGATGAGGAGGAGTGGTAAAGTAGGCCAGCTCATGTACAAGTTTGGCTTTGTCTAAAGGATAATGAAAAGCTTAAAGAATTTGAAGCAGGAGAACAGTAAGGTTGAACACAATGCTGAGCCACCGTCACACCATGCTGCCAACAGTAAGACATTTAGACTCTTAGTAAGCATAAAAAAAATGTTCCTGAGTCTTGTACCTTGCAGTGTATTGGATCCTTTTTTATTCATTATCTCTTTCATTTGTTACAGCAGCATAATGAAGTAGATTTTTATTCTTGCTTTATAGATAATAAAAACAAAAGAGAAAGGTCATAGCAGTCGACATTTGATTCCTAGTCTATCGTGCTTTCCTCTCATTCATACTGCTTTGCATCAGATGGAAGAGATGTGGTAAAAGATGGGGGATGTATTTGCAAATGCACTGTTTTATTTTTGAGACAGGATCTCCCTGTAACCCCACCTGGCCTGGAATTCGCTATATAGACCAGGCTGACCTCAATCTCACAGAGATCTGCCTGTCTCTGCCTCTAGTGCTGGGTGCTGGGATAAAAGATGTGCCCCATCATGCCCAGCTTTGGGTTTTGTTGTTGTTTTTGAATTGCAAATGTTGTTATTGATCATTAAGTTATTGAAGAGAGGCCCTAAACAAAGTTGAATTATACCCCGTGGTTCAGATGCCTTTATGCTTTTGTAAGGATAGCTGCTGTTCTTTGTTGAATGGTAACTCTGTGCCAGACACTAGGTTAGGAGCTTCATCTTTAGCATAATTAATCTATACAGTTACCTTGAAAAGGAAGTACTATCATCCTCATTTCTTAGGCAAAAAAAAAAAAAACCACCTTCCTAAAGACTCATAAATAAGAACCATATTAGAAACCAGTTGTGGTGGTGCACGTTTATAATCCTAGCCCTTGGTGTAGAGACAAGGAAGATCAGAAATTCAAGATCATCCTTGGCTACATAGTCATTAGCTGGGTTATATATGACCCTACATACACACACACACACACACACACACACACACACACACACATACACGAAAAAACAAACAAACAAAAAGAACCAACCACATAAAACCAGATCAAAACTAAAATCCTATGAATGTCAGTTCAGGGATTTTTCACTGTGGCAGGGAACAGAGAAGGATGTCAGAGAGGTTTTATAAAGGTGACTGCTATAAAACCACAGCCATGTTGTTTGTTACTGTGGAAGAAGAGCCCTGTGGCTCATGCCATATGGCAGGGAGGATAACACCTGCTTGGTAAAAAACCTGTACTAGTTTAGTATCTACAATTAAAACCACTCAGGCTGTCAAGGACATTTTCTCCTAATCAAGAGCATTTGTCCTATAACTCACTGTTCTATCTTTCCTTATCAGTTTTACATATAGGCTATGGCATACATGTCATTGCTTTCTGTATTGGTTTTATAATCATTGTTCCATTTCATTTATGGAATAAGCAGGATTACTATCTCCAGATTAAGAAACAGAGGCAAAGAATCATTGTGACTTGCTCTCTAATATTGAGCAAGTAGTAGAAATCCGTAAAAAATTCCATTCTCCTGAGCATTCATGTATTTGCTCATACCATAAATATTTCCTCAGTACCTTCTTTGTGCCAAATCACGGCAACACAAAACAAATGTGTACTCTTGAGGAAAATATTAATGGCAGACTAGAGAGATAAGAACTGAAAGAGAGGGCCATAAGAATAATGTTCAATGGGCCACATTTGATGGAGTGATTTTTCTTGGTCATAGAGGGAAGTTTGAACAGTTCCTGGGTCCTAAAAGTGCTCATTTAACAAATGTCTCTTACACTTCTTCCAGCTCTAAACCAAACTCCGTTATCCGGATCTGGGCTCTCTCTGACGCTGATTCCATGTTATTTTTGTCACCGATTCTTATAAAATGAATACCAACTAGTGTGATGGGCATATCTGTAATCTTAGCACTTGGGAGCCTGAAGCAGAAGGATCATGAGTTCAAAGCTAGTGTGAGCTACATAGCCTGGTCTCGTCTTAAAAGAATACCTGTCATGTGATAGGTTCTTTGGGTGCTGAAGAGTTAAGAACTGGTAAGGTCTTTGCTCTTAATCTCACAATTTAGTGATAAATCAGAACAAGGATGTATAAAATAATGCCAGGTAAAGCCAATAATGAAAAAGGGGCAGTGCTTTGCTGTCTGAGGGACTAAGTGTGACCAAACTCGGGTCATTAAGAGTCTAATATATAAAGCAGGAGAACTTGGGGGTTTGTGTTAAAATTAAGAAAATATTTTAAGTAAAAGATTTATATAATTGGATGTGTATTTTTGTCTTAGCTCAGGATTCCTCTGGAGAGCTGGGTGTGGCGGCCCACACCTTAATCCCAGCACTCCAGAGGCAGAGGCAGGCGGATCTCTGGGAGTTCAGAGTCAGCCTGATCTACATAGCAAGTTCAGGCCACCTGGGGCTGCAGGAGACCCTGTCTCAAAAATACCAAAAAAAAAAAAAAAAAAATAAAAAACCCTTAATGTACAGAGATAACTTCACAGAAAATATTAAAGTTAAAAGACATAGAATGTAAGTAAGGTCTTATAGCCCAACATTCACCAGGCTGGCATTCCACAAAAAGATAAAAATGAGGCATGGAGAACAAACAGTAATAGAATATGGCTGAATTATTAAGAAGTGATGAATTTTGGAGCTTGAGAGTGCAGCAGTTAAGAACACTGACTGTTCTTGCAGAAGACCCAGGTTTGAATCCCAGCACCCACATGAAAAAGATTCCTCTTGACCAAAATTACATTTAAAAGTGAAAACACTACTGTGAAACAAAAATATGACACAGCCATTGTTAGGGATCCATGAAAGATGGAAAGCTACAAGGCCAGATTGATAGAGCAGAAGCAGCTGCAGCTTCTAGGAAGTGGAAGGCAGGCATTTGGCACACACCAGAAATCCCAGCATTGGAGGCTGTGGTGACTAATACAGTAACTGGTACCACATTTAAAAGTGAAAACACTACTGTGAAACAAAAATATGACACAGCCATTGTTAGGGATCCATGAAAGATGGAAAGCTACAAGGCCAGATTGATAGAGCAGAAGCAGCTGCAGCTTCTAGGAAGTGGAAGGCAGGCATTTGGCACACAC